TGTTCCGCGAGGGAGCACCGAAGAATTTCATTGCGGAGTATCTTAGCTTTTATTTTCCAGAGGCACGCACTTCCTGAGGCACCACAAAGCAAGGACGGGTCCAGAGAGGGAGGGCCATGGAGTCATTCCCCTCCCCTTTGGACCCAAGGAAGTTTGGATGCCCTGAAGAGGCACCAAATCTCATCGCAAAGAGGCAAAATATTCATTTTGAAACCACATAACCTATATTTTTAAAAGGGCCTTAACTCTTGATTCGGAACAGCCATTAATTCCATGACCATAACTATGTTGAGCCTTCCGCCCTAATAAAATTCTAGATCGGACCCACGGGCAAGGAGGCACAAAAACCGCCCTTGCGGGGCGACATCATCTTGATTGCCGAGGGTACTAAATCAAAGCGGGCCATTTACAAAGCCCAAAACCATAACTTAAAAGGGCATTTAAATTCAACAGCATTACAATCGTGTGTTTTTCATTTTGGAAAATTTCTGGACCGGTTCGTTCAGGGAAGGGCACCCTGCTCATGGAAACAGGCACCAACAGCCTCCGTTGTCATTGGGGCTTTACGACGCGTCATCACAGTACGTGCCTCTCCAGTAACGAAATCCTGCATCGGCCCATTCGGCTAAGCGACACCTTTCTTTCGGACCACCACTACATTTATTTCCTTGAGACACCAAATGCAAGTGAGCGATTGAAAGAACAACTGAAGGTAGTCCAAAGCTTTCCTATCAAGGAACACCGAAATACAGGGGCACCACAACTGCCCTGCCTTACAATGTTGAAATCCTGGTTCGACTCTTGCGGTGGAAAGGCAACACGAATCTTGATTGCAGGGCATCATGATATTTTTTGAGCCCCTAATATAAATTGGAACACCACAATCGGCCCAAACATTCATTCTAAAGGCGATGCAGGATTCCAGGAGAGCTTTAAATGGCCCCTAAAGCTTTATTTTCGCGGGGAACCGAATTAAGCACTTCTTAATTAAAAAAAGCACTTCGACTCCCCCACTTCCCCTAAGCACGACTCCCACACCCCGACCTTAAGAGCCCGATACCAATATGAAGGGCCCCTGAGCAACCGAGTATACCCTGGCATTTGGGGCCCAGGCAGCAGCGGCGGGGCGGAGAGTCCGCTTACCCTGCGAGCGCAGCGGTCCCGCCGCGCCGCGGTCGAGCCCGCGCCGCCCGCCGTGTCTCCGGCCACGCCGCCGCCCGGCGCATCTGCGCCCAGTCCGCCGGTAAGCCCCGGGGCGCGGCCGCACCCAGGCCGGCCACGGCCGCCAGACCCCTAGGTAACTAACAGTACCCATGCTTGACTGCACGCATCACGTGATCATCAGTGGAATACCAGGTTGACTGTGCCATCTGTTGACAAAAGAGGGAAATAGCGGCAGGACTTAAAATGCTTCTATAGTGTTATCTAGCGGCAGGAATCCAAACTACCTGGTTGTCATGGATATTGGACGTTTTGAACACTGGACTTTACGATTCTAAACTTCGCGACTCTGGACTTTGCGTCCCTGGACCTTATGAACACCCATTGGGTACGGAATTGGATGATCTCTGGACTTTACGAACACTGGATGCCGCGATCCTGGACGATATGAACACTGGACGCTGCGATCCTGCACTTTTTGATGGCTCCCGCGCCGACCCCCCCCCCCCCCCCCCCCGATGTCTCCGGCCGCGCCGCCGCCCGGCGCGTATGCGCCCAGTCCGCCGGTGAGCCCGAGGGCGCGGGTGCGCCCAGGCCGGACACGACGGCTAGGCTCTAGGTAATTTATAGTAACCATGCTTGACTGTACTCATCAGGTGATCATCAGTGGAATGCCAGGTTGACTGCGCCATCTGTTGACAAAAGAGGGAAATAACGGCACAACTCAAATATGCTTCTGTAGCGTTATCTAGCGGCAGGAATCCAAACTAGCCTGGTTGCAGTGGGTACTGGGCGTTTTGAAACTGGACTTACGAATCTGGACGTTGCGTCCCTGGACCTGATGAACGCTCCCAATGGGCACACCATCGAACGCTTTCTGGACGTTATGAACGCTGGAGGCTGTGATCCCGGACGATATGAACACTGGACGCTGCGACCCTGGACGTTTTAATGACTCCCCGGCACACACATCAATGGGTATTCGGCAGTCACGGGACTAGTCGACCAGCGCAAAGCAAATGTGCGTAGAAAACAGCAAGCATTTCCACCAGAGCTTACATCTGCTCCCAAGAGCAGCGGGCTGCACATCTTTGAATGGATAGTTGGATTGGCTAATGCCCATATCGCCTAGGTCACACTCAATCGCGACGAACATTTAGGCATGCGTATGGCCATTCGGCAGCCTGGACCATGACAATGCGGGATAAAGCAGCAATGCAACTAATACATTAGAGGATGTGTGCACACATTGTTGTTTTGCAGCAGTCTCGACAGCGTGTGGTCAGCATGTTCATTTGGTCCATGCAGTGGAGCGCAATGCATGAACCGACTAATTTCATCACATGTGGTTTCATTGGTGAAAGCCGGCGTGAAGCAGAATTCTCAAGCTGGGCGTGCGGTAGCTGGCGATGAAAGTATCCGAGTATTTCGGAGAACATGTGGCACTAGCAATGCTGGGGCCCGAACCGGGGTCTTGATATTACGAGGCCAACAATCTGTCATTGACTTATCCGAACAAAATGTCGTGATACGTTCTGCACTTACTAACATCCTGGACGGGAACGATACTCTAAGCAATCGCTCTTTCGGCAACACTTATTATAGCATGCTGGTGAGATCAGTCATGTCAGATACAGTGAGGATCCAAAGCACTCCCCAGCCTTGTCAAGCCTTAACAAATACAGTTAAATGCACGTATACCTATGGTCCTCTCATTATTTCCATATTTTGCAAATTGCATGCAAAATTTCGGTTCGTTTCTATCTCTGGCTTCTGGCATCCTACGAAATCCATCAGGTATAGTGAGCCACGCCATTCAGACCTACAGCATGCGGCAGGCCTTCCTGCTTTCTTGCCCCGTCTTGTGACCCCGTGGACCCAAAAGAAGCAACTGCACAGTGCATATCGAACTGGGGATGAAAGAGCATCAACTAGCTATCTTTTCACAAAGAACCTTCGTATGTCCATTGCAGAACACAACGACTTAAACGAGAACACCAATCGACGACGGATCCGCCACAGGCAATGCATTAACGTTTATAGGGCCTAGCCCTAGAAGTTGCTGTAGGGCGTTGAGCCTAACGTCTGCCAGCCGAGGTTTGCCGCCGTTGCCAAGCAACGAATTTGTATATGCTGCGTCGTTAAAAAACCGCTGGCTGACAAGAGACTACCATTTTAGGAAAAGACGCGGTGAAAAACTTTACAGAAACACAATGTCACCATCGTTCGTAATTGTGAGCTTCAGGTATGTTCCACCATTGCTGATTTCTCTACTCAGGCAGCGTATTACCGTTTTTGCTAATTTTTTTGATCTCCCACGGGGGCAAAATGAGTTAACTGGTGGGGGGGGGGGGTCGGTCACTGCGGGGGGCATTTGCCCCCCCCCCCCGCCCCCCAACCCCCAGTTAACATGTTATCCGAAGCCCTGCACTGGTCAGCAGCTCTACAAGGTACATCTAATTTTCTTTAATCAAAGATCCGCTTTACAATCTTCTGCAGCTATGTAAAGTTTGGCGCGGCTACGCCGCGCTGTTCCGAAATAATTCTGGAAAAACCTTCAGGGAGTCAATTTGACCACCACCCGAGCGCTTCATTAGTCTAAATTATTTGAGATAGGATGCACAATGTTCACGAGCTCGTCCCCCCTTAAAAATGTAAAGTTCCATCTCTGGGCATGGCTTTGAACTGCATTAATGATTTTCAAAATGCTATCTCCGTTCAAAACCCCATACAAATATGGAGCACTCCCTTCAACTGAAGCAAGTGAAAACAATAGTAAAATTCCCCTTAACGCCATTCGCATTGGATGACTTTTGCGTACTTTGGCACTCTGTGATGTGAAGATTGTTCCGCAGAATAAGCACACCATATGTGGATCGAGAACCCATGCATAAATTGCGTCCATTGGACCCAGGTCGAATCTTTCAGCTTTGCAAAATTAATGCAGAGGGAGGATGGAAGGGCTGTCGAAAAGAGTTTAGCGTTTAAGTGAAACGCAATTAAGACAATGTTTTACCCATGCAACGACAATAACGTGGTGGTACATTTACGGTCGCAAGATATGTCAAATATTAGTGATATGCTGAGCAATGCTGCGCACAAGAGATTTTTCCGCAAAAGAATATTCATCGCCTGTGTCACGTTCATCACATATCAAATGCAGTAGAACACAAAATATGTATTGCAGAACAAGCACTGACCAACATTTAGGAACAGTGCAAACATATGTTCCACTGGTTGACGTATACCTCAGCTTGTATTCTTGCTGTAAAGTCGATGTCCAGCCAGTCAGAAGTACTGAACTGGATTGTCTACTGAATCCCCATATCCTATTCGGACTACCCCTATGGTCAGAGTATCACAGTGTCTGCGCTCTGTCTCCACCTCTGCTCGGAAACGGAAATATGTCAATACTCTAAATTCGTAGCCTGGCTTGAGAGCAACAAAAAAGACTGTTAACGTGAAATGTAAAAAAACCGCTCCCACCACAAGTATTGTGCAGGGGAGACGCGACGCTGATAAAACCATGCGAATGTGCCTAAGGCCAGTTATTAGAAGACTAAGTACAAAGACATTGCATAATACTTTAGTCTACGAAGCCTAAAGGCAACGCTTTTGGAAATTCTAACCCCATTTACGCACAACAGGGAGTTCTTAACTACTGTGCGCAAGCCCATAACGGCGAATGGAGACCGACCATAACTGACATGAATCCTTGACAGCCTCCGGGGATCCATGAAACGATGTCTGAGTGAGCGATACATGCGAGCATTCTCATCCTCAACACGGGCGGGCAGACCGAGGAATCACAGAGCGAGATCGGGGTGCCGTCAATGTCGCTAGATGGTCCACACCTGCACCTTCTCCGCCACCACGCACCAGTTGGCGTGATCGTAGTACGACGAGATAATATGCAGGTTGTCCACGTACTTCTCGATCAGCCGGTCCAGTTCGCCTTCGCGGAACACGTGGTAGTAGCGATGGTGGCCGAGCGCGCCGCCCACGTCCGACGGCAGAGACTCCTCCGAGGACGCCTGACGGCTGCCCGGTCCCTCTTCCTCCTCGCCCGCCGCCGTCGCCTTTGCCGTCGCCGACGCCGTCGCTGCCGTCGACGTCGCCGTCGCCGCCGCCGCCGCCGCCGCCGCCGCCGCCGCGCGCGATCAAAGATGTGCTGCGCTGTGAGCGCCGGCCGGGCGCAGCGCGCCGTCTCGCTGTCGGAGATGGCCGTACCGGAGGCCGAGCCGTCGGTGCTGCTCGGCCGCTCAGGGCCGCTCGACTCGCCCAGACTGGCCGTCCGCGAGGCTTCCGACGTCGACAGACTGGAGGCAGAGCTGAGGCTGGAAGCCAGCGAGGTGCGCCACTCACTCGGCTCGACCGCGCGCCGGCGGCCGGCGCCGGCGCGCGCCGCCGCCTCAGGTTCGGCCTCCTCCAGCACCTGCTCGAGCGGCGGCGCATCCAGCCGCGCCATCGTCACCTTGCGGCGGCCGCGCGGACTACTGAGCCGCGCCGGCGGCTCCGGAGAGCTGCTCAGGCTGTCGTCCGTCTCGGAGGGCGCCGCCAGGTGGGAGGCCGACGCGGGCCCGGGGCCGGACTCTGCCAGCGCTCCCGCCGCCGCCGGCGCTGCGCCGTTCGCTGGGGAGGAGGACAGGAAGTGAGGCATCGGTGTCAGCAATTACACCAAAAGCCAACGCTCGCCGAGCGGTGGAAGAGGAGTCTAGAAACAACAGCAATCTAGCCATGCCATTAAGGCATACTGATCATCACCAAACCAGATCTGTTTCCTTCGCATTGAGCTTGAAGAACGCTTGGCCTTAGCCTTTTATGACGGAATGACATCAACGCCAGTGGATGGAAACGGAAGCCGCTGCGACCTGCGCGTCGCCGGACTGACGGTGGCCCGGCGGACGTGCCACCAACCCGTCAGCGCTCATTGTCTTCTGATTGAGCACTGACCACAACCGGCCGCTCCGTGGTCGCCAACATGTGCAGAATACGTGGATGAATTAGGAAACTCGACTGGTCATTGGCTCTGCTCACTATCCGTCTCGCAGGCCAGGGTATTCAGCGTTTGTACATTGGGAACTTGCTACTTGGGTCCACAACCCTGGTTGCAACACCCGTCTGTACTCTGCTTCGTCAAGCCAAACCCCTTCCCTGCTGAAATTTTGCCCGCGAGCACGCGCGTTCTTGGTGGAGCGCCTCACCTTGTGGCAGGGCACACCGGATCCCAACTTCTGCACCGCACGAGTGCAGCGCGCTCACCTGTCTCCCGCTCGCTGAGGCGGTCTCGCTGCTGCTGCTCGATCTCGCGGTCCAGCTCCTGGATCTCTTGCGCCGAGGGCCAGTCGGAGGCCATGCTGATGACGCTGCAAGCGCTGCTGGGGCTGCTGGCGCTGCTACTGGCGCACGAGCTCTCGCTGTCCAGGTCATCCGTCTCCGGGTTAAACACCTCAAACGTGAGATACTTGGGCGCGGCCCGGCGCACGATCTGCACGTTGCGAAAGCCCTGCACGCCAGGCCGCCGGATGATCTCGATGTTTTCGCCCATGATGAGCGACGACACTTGGCTGCTGACGCCGGCCGGCCGCGCCGCGCCCAGCCCGCCGCCACCGCTGCCGCTGCCGCTGCCGCTGCTGCCGCTGCCGCCGCTGCCGCTGCCGCCGCTGCCGCTGCCGCCGCCGCTGCGCCGCGCCGCCGCCGCTGCCGCTGCCGCCGCCGCTGCCGCCGCTGCCGCCGCCGCCGCCGCCATCGCTCGGCTCCGGCCGGAACTGGAAGCTGCTGGCGTCGGTCCGTGCCGGCGCTGGGGATGGCGGCTGAACGGCGCCGGCCGACAGCGCGGCGCCCGGCCTCGCGACGGTGAAGTGCGCACGCCGCCGCAGGTGGCGCCACTGCTCGTCACCACGTCTGGCAGGGGGCCGTGCTTCGCCGGTGCGCTGGCGTCCGGCGTCGGGGCACTCTCATCGGCCGGTGGTGCGGCGACGGCGGGACAGCCGCCGGCCGGCAGCTGGCCGAGTGTTTCCGTCTGTGGCACCACCAGCTCAGCAGTGACATCGACCGGCGACGGTGACGGCGCCGGCGGACCTACCGCCTCCGACTCGGACGCCGGCACCACGCCCAGCGGCGGGTCCATCAACTGGAACCGGCCCTGAAGGTGGCTCTGCAAGACCTGCGCGCCCAGCTTGGGAAGGCTCTTGAGGGTGTTGATTCGGATCGGCGCCGACGGCAGCCGGGTGGGCGAGGAGGGCAGGGTGCCGGTCAGCGGCGATTTGGGCGACACCTTACCGTTGGAGCCGTCCGACGACTCGCTGGAGGCGGAGCGGCTGCGCTCCTTGGCCTCCACCTCAGCGTCCAGTTTCGGCACGTATATGACGGAGACGCAGCTGTCCTCAGAGTCGAGGCTGGTGTCGCTCTGGAAGCTGTTCTCCTTGGAGCTGTCCGAGCTTTCCTCGCGCGAGGTTTTCCGTTCGCGAGAGCAGTAGCGGTATAGCGTTCTTCTGTCGGCGCGCGTGCATGTGGCTCCACCGGGCAGCGCGGCGGCCGGCGCCCTGGAGCTCGACTCCACTGGCGGGTTCTCCAGTCTCTCCGCCACGCTCTTGAGCGCCATCTCGGCGGCCAGTCCGTTACAGGGCGCCGCCAGCATCACAGCGGGCGGCTGCTGGCCTCCGGGGGCGGACCCTGAACCCCTTCCTCGTCGCACGCGTCCGGGCGCAGCGCTGTACCGTCCGTCAGCTGGCGCACGATCTTAACCAAACCATTCTTGAGCGCGGACGTCGGCTGGTCCTTGTCGGCCAGCTTCTCCAGGCTCTCGCTCAGCTTGCCCAAGTTGTCGCGCAGCGCGCGCAGACGGCTGTAGTTGGCGAAGTGAGCCGGCTTCGGCACCTCCTGGCTGCCGGCCATCTTGCCGTAAATGACGTTCTCGTTGAGGCTTTGCTGCTTGCGGATTTTGGCGCGGATCTGGTCGCGCTCACCCGTCCGATCGCGACGCATCAGATTCTCGTTGAGCGACGCCTGCTTGAGTATACCGCGCACCGGCCGACCGACCGAGGGCGTCTCCTCGCTGAGCACGCGCGGCACGCCCGACTCGTCCGCCAATCGTCGCTGTCGCACCAGCGACGGCTTCGGCGCCGCCGGCTCGACCGTCTCCTCGCGCACATCGTTCTCCGGCACGGTGGTCAGTGGCGCCTTCAGGAGCTCACATGAGCGCACGCGCGAGTCCAGCACGCTGTCGCTCTTCGACTTCTCGCCAATGACGGTGAGCGCGAGCTTCTCGCGCGGCAGCGTCAGCGACTGGGTGGAGAAGGTGACGGACTTGCGGCTGCCCTTCTTGGCCGCCTGCTGCTGCAGCAGCGCCGAGCTGCTGCTGTGAGATCGCTCCATGCTGACCGCCGTCGCCTCGTCGAACGCGAAGCTGCGCGGTCGGTCGGCTGGCGGCCGCGTCGCATCGCCGCGCCGCGCGCCCAGGATCGAGGCCGACAGCAGGCTCCACATGTCGCCGACACTGCGCGACTTGAAGGTGCCCAGCGGCTGGGCGGCGCCGGCCGCCGGCGCGTCGCAGCCCAGAGTGTTGCGCCGGCGAGGCGCTTCCTCCAGACCCGTGACGTCATCATCCATCCGGATCTCGATCAGCTGGCTGCCGTCGGTCGCGTCGCCGGACTTGGTCGGCTTCATCTCCGAGTAGCTGGTCCAGGGCGATAGAGGATCCAGGGCCGCGAGCCGTCCACCTCCCCGCGACGGGCCAGCTTCTGCAGCGTTGGCGGCAGTCACTGGGCCAGCCACGGCTGCATTATGACAGAGATGCGTCGGACGGCGGATTGGAGCGAACGGAGCGCATTGGTAAGACAAATGAGACTCATCCAGGTCATGAAAACCTATGCCTGATTTGAAGACACTTCTAGGTTACTATTCCTGATGTTTCGCATACCGCTTCTCTCTAGCGGTGAACGTGAAGCATGGCCAACTATGAAAAGGTTACCAAAAATGAGCGACCAGCATTTACCACATCCTCACTAAAAACAAGTCCACAAAATAGCAGGCACGACAACGGTAATTACGACGGAAAGAAGTCTTCTCCTTGCTACAATGGCGGCCTCGGCGGCGACCAGCGACCTGCAGCGCCCCGACGGACGAAGCTGTTAGCACGACTGCTGGGCGACGAGAGGCCCGACGAGCTTTGCGACGAACTGGCCATGGTCGGGTCGATTGAGCGGATCCTCCGCGGCCGCCGGCCCGTCCGCCACGTGAAACCTGGCGCACAGCGGCCCATGTCGGCATGGCAACCGGCGGCCGACGGATTTCGGCGGCGTTTGTGGAGTCAATTTGATAAAAATCGAGGACATTACAGGGCCACTTCACAACGTCCAGACTGATGAGACATTAGCGCACAGACAGAGTACGGCTCACGTCTAAATGTTCACGAAATGTTCGCGACGGAACATCCGTGTCTCTCGTACGGATTTTCCAAGCAAAGGCAGCTGCCATAGATCTGTTAAGTCGCTCTGTGCATTACGCCATAATGTCAGTAGTTTAGAACCCGTTAAAGACCGGATTTGCGGCACGCTATCTCAGCAGGTATGCTTACCACACACAACAATGACTGATGAATATCGTGCTCACGTGCAGAATCCGACTCCTGGAATCTGACCGCGCGGTCTTTTCCAGACGCCCCTAAGTGCGCTGCAACGAGGCACCCTGGCAGGTGACTCAGCAGAAGTAGAGGGGGGGGGGGGGGGGGGGCGCCTAGCAGTACCGGCACAGTCATCTGCGGCCAGGTCCGAGTGCAGCTCACCTGGTCGACCCTTGACGAGTCGCTGTCGCTGGTGTGCGTGAAGGCGCTGTAGTTGAGCAGGTCGTCGTCCGATGTGGTAGAGATGGCTTCCGGGCTCGACCACGGAAGGCACCTCCTCGCTGGCGCTGGTTTGCTGCTGATTCCACGGCACCAGCACGTCTTGGCTCTCGAACTGTGGCACGCCCGGCCCGTGGCCCTCACTGACACTTCTCGGTCACGATACCAGTGCAACCACTGGAGCTTTAAGGTTAACCCGGACACGGATGATATCACCTCACAGACAGCGCAATACAGCGAACAGCAATGCTCGAATAAAGGGATCGAGCGTCTCCAACGCTGACGTAGCGCTCAGCTGATCATACATGCCATGCTGTCATCACCGCACGCATGGTCAAGTTGCAAAAAATCAGTTTGTATTGGATATTTGCGACCTCTCAGTCTCTCCGCCTTCACCCGCTCGCGCCCGATCAGGTGCAATGCGAGTCAGCAAGCCACCCACTCACATGACGCTTGCAGCAGCTCTCAGCGGCACGCTGTTTGCCAATGCATAATGCATAGCTTAAACACCGGTGCAACAGAGTGCATCAACGCAGTGCGCAGACACACCAACAGAGCCGCGACAGAACACACATGACTTAGTCACCTTACAGCTCATACTGCCGGCGCGGTGAGCAGCAGCCGCATTGCACAGACTCGCCGAGCGTCTCAGCACGGCTGCTGACCGTACGGCGGTGGGCGTTCGGATGGGCGCCGGGCCGTACCTTCTGGTGCGCTGCTCCATGGCCCAGACGGTGACGATGAGCCTGCCGCCGATGCGGAGCACCCTGGCCAGCTCGCGGAGGGCGCGCACCCGCCGCTCGGTGTGCCAGGTGATGGATCACGGCCACCGAGACGGCCGCGTCCGCCGACTCGTCCCGGAACGGCAGGCCCAGCGCGCACACACACCAACACCTGGCGGACACAGTGACGGTGTGTCACACACCAACACCCGGCGACACAGTGACGGTGTGTCACACCCACCACCCGGACACAGTGACGGTGTGTCACACGCCCCTGGCGGACACAGTCACGTGTGTCACAACCACCACCTGGCGGACACAGTGACGGTGTGTCACACGCCCCACCTGGCGGACACAGTCTGTGTCACACCCCCACCTAGCGGGCACAGTTACGGTGCGTTACACACCGCCATCTGGCCCCGCACAGCGTTTTGCACACATGCAGCTAAGTCATAATCTCATAGGCCGCCATCCGTTGATTACAAAGTGTTAGGCATAACAACAATAGCTTGCTGTGATGAGCACCACCTGCTGTGGACCTGATCACAGCTCCGAGCTCGGGTCACAGTCACAGCCACAGCGAGCCGAAGGGCCGTCACGAGACGCTCGCACAGGGAGCCGGCCTGTCAGCGCAGACCTGGGATTTTCCAGAGCGCAGTGCCGAGGGGGCCCAGGCGGTTTCATAGCGGGGCTCACACTAGATTGCGGTTGACCACTGGCACGCCAAGTGACATTAGTCATGAGACGTATATTGGGGCCATCCATGTTGCACGTGGTCATTCCAGTACATCACCAAAGTATAAGCGCAACGTAAAAGGAAGGGGGTGCGGAAGCATATGCATACGAAGTAAAAGACATGCACGCTGTGTTACCAATCCGATCCAACTAGCCACAGCCGCATAACCTTTCCTCATATGCGGATGTGGCGCGCTATGAGTCTGTCAGAAGGAATCCAGCTGGAGGTGCCCCAGCTCCGGTGGCAGCACCTGGTACAATGGAGCCGCCCGGCTGGTCCAGGTCAGTCTACAACTTCATCACATGGACGCAACCTTCCAGGCTCGCACAACGCTCGTGAGTCTCAAGACCTGCCACCAACTGGCAGCCAAGCACCTCGGACTGCCGAGGCCAAAGCTCTGTGCTTCAGAGAGACAGTGTGATCGCGCCAGCCCTCCAGCGGTGAACCAGTCGAGATCCTGAAGCAGCTCCGGCATATTTCCGGGTGTTTTGGGTGTTCCCGTGAAAGGTTATGCAATGAAGCAGTTACGTAAGGTCCCGGAGATCACAGTCCTTAGATCACAGAGGATGGCAAATAGCTTCGCAGATGTGAACGACCGGAAATAACCTAAAAAACATGTCATGTAACAAGAGATCTGTGGGAATTTCACGTGAGAACGCCTTAGAAAGCAGACTGATTTGTTCATCTCCAAGCAAGGGCGAAGGTCGGGCCACGACATGAAGCTGCATATCTGAGAACGTTGCGCAGTTGTGGACTGCTGCCGAGCAACACAGGCTGTGCTTTGCATGCATTTACTTCAAGGCCGTACACGCAGAACCAGATAACCGTAGAGACCAAGATATATTCACGTGGACCACACGGCTCAGCAGCCTGGTCCCAGCTGTAGTATTGGCAAACCCAGCCCTCAGTTCGCAGTTCCAGAAGTGACCAGTCAAAAGCCATGAGCAATGAAATTAACCAGTGACGGTCACCGGTCACCAGTCACACCGCCACCATAGTTTCTTGGTACGCAACAAACGCATGTAATGAATATGAGTGTCAACCTGAGCGCTCATTTCGTTGCACTTCTGTCGCTGACTTCGCCAGTTTGCGCAGACCATACTCTTCCACTCGCGGCAACCATACGCATGACCAAGCAAAACACCTTCGTGCGACACCCCACATGTAAACCAGTCCTCATGAAGAGAGAATGGCGTACAATTGTGGCGTAGTAAGTAGGGTCTTAAAGTTTTGTAAATCGTGGGTAGGGGGGGGGGGGGCGCGAACCGATGGCCCGACAACCTACACCCCTCCCATTTTTTTTCACTGAATTTGGCCCACTTTATTTTGATTAAACGCAA